GCCAGGGGTTCTCAAACTGAGGGTCAGTACCCCTCAGGGGGTCACAAGATCAATACATGGGGCGGGGGGGTGTCGTGAGCTGTCAACTTCCACTCCAAACCCTACTTGCCTCCAGCATTTATAATGGTGTTAAATATATTTAAAAGGGTGTTTAATTTATTAGGGGGGTCGCACTCAGAGACTTGTGATGTGAAAGGGGTGGCCAGTAAAAAGAAGTTTGAGACCCACTGCTGTAAGCTCTTCAGGGAAGGGCCTGTCTCTCTCTGTATGTTTGCAGAGAGTCTAGCAAACTGGGACCTTGGCTGGAGCCTGTAAGCACAATTGTAATACAAATAATACAATAATAATTACATTTATTCATATAGCTGGACCACTCTTCCACCCCCCCCCCCAGTGTTTGTTGCATGTGTAGTGGGAATATTTTGATGCTTTCACATGTTATGAAAACAGTCCACATATGTTCAGCAAAAGTTTCCTGATCTGCTTGTAGAGGGGAAGCTTATTCAGCCAGTCATAGGGGACCCCCTTAGTTTCCTTAGGTTATCTTTAGTAGTTAGTTTTTCTTGGCAGCTGCATAAACTTTATGTAACTGAGATTTTGACTTCATCATTATTTTATTCATTTGTTCTGTAGTAGTGCCCAGAAGCACCAATCGAGGCCCAACTGCATTGGCCACTGTACACATCGTCCTTGTTTCAAAGAGATTACAGTCTGAGCACCTGGTCCTTAAAACACTTGTGCACATGAGTAGTTCCACTGAGAGCCAAAACTTCTTGCGTCTCGGATTTGTTCTATGTCTTTCTTCTAGACACTTTCCTCCAAGCTCTTTTCCAGTAGGAATATTCTGCATCAAAGAAATGCTCTTCTCTTACTAAGCTACTGTTAGCAAAGGGAGCTCTATGCTTACAATAAAGATTCTTCCTTGTATTCTGGACTCATGCGTTTCATTACAAGAGTCCCCCTACAGACCTCACCTTGGGAGCACAGTGATGCTTCACCTGACACTTACGTTTTCCTGTCATTTAAAACCATGTTTCTCCCCATCCACCCCATGTGATTCATTTAAACTTGCTTTTGTAGCTGGAAGAAGACGTATGCTATGCAATGCTCATTCTTGAAGATCTGCAGAGTACGACTGAGAGGAGCACTCATTAGACCACAGACTTTAGAGCAGCTACATTCAAGATTTCAAAGAGCTACGTGTGGCATTAGAATAACAAGCTGCATTTCACCATAGTAGCTAGAACAACACTCTAAAAACTAGGCTGCCATAAATGGGTGCTATATATATACTGCTGCATAATCCAGACATGGGTCCCAAGTATGTTGCTACAAAGAGTTCTCATCCAGCTTTGAAGAAAGATCCACTGAGTGCAGGAAAAACTTGCCATCTTGTCAGGGTCAGAGTTGTCTACCTTGGCATTATCCACCATGCAACACCTGACCCAGTTTTGCCCCTATCATATAGAATGAAACTCAAGAAGTCCTGAGAAACATTTGAGCTACCACCTGGAGAGCCCATCTTAGCTGGTGAAAGCCCACAAAGACCAATTGTGCCCACTGCTAATGTAGATGATCAATGACACTTTCAAAGAAGTGAACCCACCAGCCTAACTGAAAAGTCAATACGCTACCCAATCCTGAGAGAGTCAGCTGAGAACATCTCCAGCTACTGCCCCATCTCCAGCATCTTAGACCGAATCATTGAGGACTGAAAAAACACACTTCTGCATCCATGTGACGTCTTTCCCCCCCACCCATCCTGAATGCTTTGTAGGAGGTGAAGAGAGGGGGGGCATGACTTACAGCTTTTTACTCTGCCCACCCTCTGCTCTGTTTTCACCCTATTTTTCATTGTGTTTTTTTCCCTCTCTTCCCCATTCTTTGCTGCTATTCTCCCAGGGTTCCTAGGTGAAGTGGAAAAGGTCTGAGTCAAATTTTCGAGCACAGAAGGGGATTCAAAATCAGAGAAAATGAATTCCCTTGTCCCTACTTATTAGAATAGCCTCACATTTCAGAACTAAGGACAAATCAAACTTGTAGTAAAAAGGTCATTCGTGGATTAGTTTTTAAAATGTTATGCAGGATGCGCACACACACAACCCATTAATTTGTAGGTTTAGTATATAGATCTTTGGCATACAGTCAAAAAGGGGCCTCGTTGTTTGAAGCATAAAGACCAAATATTTTGCAACTAGTTTGCTTTAGGAGTTTAGTTTGGGGAGTCTTGCAAACCTGTGCAGGACTTTGTGAGCTGAAGTTAAAGGTTTTGTGAAAACTGTTCTGCAGCCAGTGAATACATCACAGAATGCACAGTTTATAGTGGATGTTTATAGTGGATATACATTTGCTATCCTCCTTTGCTATTCCTACAAAGAATAACTATCCCAGACTTTTTAATAAGTTTCCTGTTGTCTGACTACTGTCGATGAAATATGAAGCAGATAGAAGACAGATTGATATTCCTAACCTGTGTTGACCTAGACATGTGCTGTACTACTTAAAAGAATGTTGGCTAGAAGCAAACCTGAAGTTCTCACCACTATATAAATACTTTTCCGTATTCTTACTAGTTCTAAAATGATGTGCTGTATTTTGCTTCCATGGTAAAATGTTATCTGTGACTAATGTGTTAATAAATTAAGTATTGCACACATTTTATGATGGTATTCTGTGTTTGGCAAAAGCATGAAAAGGAAATTACTTGTGAGTGGGAACATTTACTTTTTTTTGTTTGTTTTCATTTATTTATCTTTGTGAAAATGAATGTGGTGTTCTTGAAAAATTCCAGAAAAGACAGAAGTAAGGCCACATTACTCAGACTGACCTGTGTATGGTGCCGGCCTAATTTGAAAGGAACTCCTCCTGTGTCATCTAGGGTAATCTAAAGTATATGATGTCTGGCAATTTCAAAGGAGTTTAAGGGAGTTAAGAGCCAAACTTCCATTGAAATTCAGACCCCGTTGAAAACCCAAGCTGATACTTTTAATAGCCCCCCTATCATTGATATCTAAACATAGATGGTAACTTGGGGTCTGATTTTTCTGTGGTCTTGTGTAATCATTTATACTGGTGCAAAGTAGTGCAGAAGGGAAGCAATTAACCCACTTTACATTAGCTTTGCACTGTGTAAATGCCTATATAGGATGCAGGGCAATGGAAAATTAGGTCCATTCTGAGTTTTTGGAAAAAAAAAAAAACAATTATTTAGACAGCACAACTTCTGTTTTCTTGAATGAAAATCCTCACTTTCCTGACATAGTCAGCAACGGTACATTCAAATATTGGATTTGAAAAACGCTATTTATCTCCTGATCCTTAACTAACCTGAAATACTAACCCTGCTTATTCCTTCTTTATTGTCCCTTTACATAGTGAGTGTGTGTGTGTGTGTGTGTTAGGCAGAATGTGGTCTATAAATATGTACACACTGTGTTAAGGGACAGTAAAGAAGAAATAAACAATGAGGAAGAGTGTACCTTTGTATGAATTTATGTATTTACATATATATGTGTTCATGTGTATATAGCTATAGATATGTGTTTATATCTACACACACACACACACACACACACACACACCACTAACTTTATAAGTTTCATTTTGCACAGACACCATTCTATTTTAATGGACAGTAAACTATAATTTAAAGGAAATAAATCCAGAGCTATCCTAAAATAAAAGTACAGTACTTTTAAGATTAATGACCATGTTTTGTAACTTTTTTTAAATCTAGATAATGACGTAGGTCCATAGATGCTGTCCTGCAGCGGGGCGAAAAAAGCCTCTGGAGATTCTCTGAGGTTCACCTCATACATTCTCTTCCATGGGGTGGGATTACTTTCACGTGGAGAGGCCAAGAGTGTAATTCTTCTAAACCTGTGGATCAGTGAGAAACCATACTCCCAGCTGGATGGATCTCAGGGCAGCCATAAAGAGGGCATGACCCACTGTGGTCTCTGGAACCCCTCCCCCAGTCACATAGCTTCTGAAGGAGCTCGCTGACTTGTGCCCTGATGCTACAAACTCTTCTGCATATGCTCAGGTTGAAGCATGTTGAGTAGCCCTGTTGACTTCAGTTGGACTAATTACATGTTTAAAATTAAGCATGTGCATCATTGTTTGCAGGATTGTGGCCTCAGCTATCACTGCTATGCTTGTGTCCCACTCCCCACTGCCGTATGCTGGAAGCTAATGCTGCTTCTAACCTCATTAACACCGGTCTGAAAATTCAATGGAATACGGCTGTGTAGGCAGAGGAACATACTGCGTACGGTGACTGCTCCCTGGTCCCAGCCTTTGCTTGACTACCCTGCTCACTCAGAAGATGTGGCGTTCCCAAGGAGAAGCTTCTGCGGACTCCTAGAAAGGGGGAAAGTGTGCAACAGAGCCACCCCTTCTTCCCTTCAGTCTTGCAGAGCTTGTTCTTGCTGTTTCATTGACAAAGCGTCTCAATATCTCACTACAAAGCGTATTGTAGGGCCACAGGCTGCCCTGTGTCTGGTAATTAATGTAGTCTTTCATCTCCTGTCTCATACCAACCACGAACTTTAGGAGACCAAATGAAGTGTGGGAAGAGCTCTAGCTTTTGTCCTCCAACAGAGTGATCAGTTAAGGTGAGCTATTACCAGCGGGGGGGGGGGCGGGTATTTTTTTTTGTAGTGGTATCACTACCCAAAAAGTGTGTGGTTTTTCCCCCCCCTTCTCCCCTCCCCCCTTCCTGCTCGTAATAGCTCACCTTAACTGATCACGCTCGTTAGTGTGTATGGTAACGCCCATTGTTTCATGTTCTTTGTGTATATAGGTATCTTCCTACTGTATTTTCCACTGCATGCATCTGATGAAGTGGGTTTTAGCCCACGAAAGCTTATGCTCAAATAAACTTGTTAGTCTCTAAGGTGCCACAAATACTCCTGTTCTTTTTATTGTTGAATTGACTCTCTACTGGGCTGTCTAAGGCTCACAGGGTTAATTGCCTTTCTCTTTTTTTAATGTTTCAGAAGAATTCCTTCATGTGTTCTCCTGAAGTATAAAGACCAGCAAGAATAGGAAACCTGAAGGCGTGTGTTAATCTCCCGGTCAAGTACGGTACACGCGGCCGCAGTGAAAGCTTCTGCTTGCTGCCCTAGAAATAACCCCAACCTTCCCCTGGTAAGATTACCCTCGGCGGGGTCAGAAGCTTAGTTCTCATTTTCATTTTAAGCTTGTGGTTTTTAACCCCTGTTCTGAATTGGCCTACTTGGATTTGTTGATCTTTTAAAGTGGATGGGTGTTTATTGGATAGAGAGTGGAGAAGAGAAGCCCAGAAATGAGACCAAAGGTTTATTTGCTCAACACTGTTGCTCCTTCATCTCACCTTATTGTTTTCGTGGCTTAACAGCTAACAGTCATTGCCCGCCATGCAAGGGCCCCAAGCAGTGTCAGGATTTTAGTTTAAGCAGCTTTGCGAGGACAAAGCACTCATGGTAATTCCTCCTGGAAACAGAAGTGTCACTCCTCCATCTACCCACTGTGAAGTGTCATGGACTTGATTCCTTGGTCTGTATAGTGAGATGAAATGGAGCCTGTGGCTAGGATTTTCAAAGTATTTTAAGTGGATTTAGGCACCCAACTCCCATTGGCCCAGGCACCATTTAAGTGCCACTTAGGACAATGGGAGTTGGGCACCTTAACTCCCTTAGGCTTCTTTGAGAACCCTAGCCTGTGGCTTTTTAGCTTGCTAGTCCTCCTCACCTCTGTAGTACAGGCTGTTGGAGAAGTCATGAAAAGACAGCAGGCTGTGTGCAGAATAGTTTGGAAGCTTTTGTATTTAAATTGTGTTTTGTTTTAGGTAAGATATTTAGTAAGCAGTTACTATAAGATACAATCTGATAGGTTAGATTGTGGTCTTACACCCAGCCCTGTTCTCTGGACAGGTTGTAGGACCACAGCTGAGCTGCCCGGGAGCAGAGCAGGAGATGAATGGTGATTCAGACAATTCAGTCTGCTTCCCCTTTGCTCCAAGATAGAAGTAAGCTGTGCCAGTCCTTTTCCTGGTACTAATTACTTCTCCCTTCATGCTGGTTTAGCTGCACTAGCTGGCACGTTGAGAGGGTTGGAGCCAAGACTCTGCCCCCTCCTTCTGCGAGGAGAAGTAATGACCCAGTGGAGGCTGCTCTCTTTCTGATGCTATGCCCCACAATTCAGGTGGCAAGTGCAGTGGAACAAGAGGACTTATGCTCTATGACTCCCCAGCATGAGTATGCAGCAAGGGTCATGAACATCCTATACTGATGATATGCTCCTCTTCTTCTAAAACAAACTGCACCACAACCAGCATTTCTCCAAGATCTATGTGACTATCCATTTAGTGAACCAGAACTTGTAAGACCGTCTGTACTAACCACATCTGGGGACTCCCAATAATACTGCAGCCTATGTATCTCGTCACTCCAAATAAATAAACACAGTATCTTGTTCCAACTTAGTTAGTGACATCTGCAATATTTTAGATTTGGTTTATATTAACCTTTTATATCAATCTATCAAAGGTTAGAAAGAAGAGTAATAACATCTATAGATAGATAGATATAGATATACATGTGGCATATCGCTACTGAATCCTAAAGCAATATTATTTAGTATGGGTTTAATGTTCTTCTATGTCACCAGCATTTTCCTAAAGTCTTACTCTGTTTGTCTGCTATGTTAAAAGGGTATGATTTCTGCTCGGTGTGCAATATGCCAAACTATGCTACCACAGTTGCAAATGTCAATTTTCATATCCTGTTCATTTTAAAACCATATGTATATATTGGGCATGTTTGAAATGGGATTATCCATGGCAAATGATTTGAAATAAATAAATAGGGACTAAGATTTTAATCAGCAAAATATTGCTGATTGTTGGCGATAAACAACTTGAATTGAACAACTTTGGAAGCTTTCATTTCTCCTTGTGCAAATTCCACTGTAGTCTTTGTCCTCTAGTTTGAAACCAAGTCTCCCTTCCCATTTCGTTGGGGGTGGGGGAGAGTAGTGGGACTGCATGACACTATACAAGATTCCTTTGTACGATAGTCTAATAAACAAAGAACCAAAGCTATCTTCAATGTGTGATGTGGTCTGTGTCAGAGAATAGCTTTTCTACGGTCATCTGAAATCAGGGTTATTCAGTAATGCTAGTACTGAGCCTGTCTCTCCCACTAGTCCCAGGATGACACTTGTCTTATTTACCCAATTCAGATGTATATGCTTGATGCTGACTAATGCCGATTGGCTTAAATAAAAAGAACAGGAGTACTTGTGGCACCTTAAAGACTAACAAATTTATTAGAGCATAAGCTTTCGTGGACTACAGCCCACTTCTTCGGATGCATATTGGCTTAAATGTACACCTTCACTGCAATATTTAACTGATTAAAATCTTAGTCCCTGATTATTTTATTTCAATCATTTGCTATGGAGAATCCCACTTCAAATATGCCTGACAAATAAGCATGGTTTTAAAATGAATGTGTCATGAAAACTAACATTTGTAACTGCAGAAACACAGCTCAGCCACATTGCACTTTGGGTAGAAATCAGCTCTTTAACAGGGACTATCCTGTAGTATTTTAAGCAACTGTGAAAATAAAGCTATGGAGTCATATAGAGTTTCACATTGTGAAGGGTTACACAGGTTTTAGCTATGCAATACCCCCTGAAGTCAATGAAAGATGTGTGGCTGAATCTCACATAACACTGAAAAAGTAATAAACATCCAGAGTCACAGAGGCCCTGATTGGCTGTGTTATGTCCAGCTTTGTTGCCAATACTGGGGGAGAGATTTACAGTAGGTAATCAGTTCAAAGCTGAGAATTTGTAAATAGGGCAGAGTCCTCATTCGTGTTCTGAGGTTCTTGTTTCCTTAAACTGAAACTAATGTCACATTTTGTGCTTTCTTCTCTAACAGTGAGGTGAAATAATAGGTGGTAACTGGAGTTGATTTGGTTCCGCATGAAATGTTATCAACAGCTGATTTTAAATTTTATTCTCGGTTTTGTTTTTTTGTTAAGTGGCTGAAATCTCCATTGACTTAAATGGTGGTGCTCAAGTGCTCAAAGTTGAGCATGTGGGTCAATGTTTGGCTGGATTGGAGCCAGAATGCATTGTCTGTTAAGTGCAAAAATAACTTTCTAAAATGATTGAATCTCTTTAGAACAAACACGCACTCATCATATCATGCAAGACTTCTGAATGTGGAGCATAGTTTGCAGATTTGCATTCTCTCTGTTTAAAATGCTCTTTGAGCCATTAGTAGTTTACAGGAATAGTCATGTCTCCTGCTGTGGTCAATATTAAAATGCTTACAACATAAGAGCACTGGCATCCAGCCTTAGGTTATTTTTATACTCATGATATGACCTTTGGTAATCAAATCAAAGAAATAGGAGCAACAAAAATGACTGATGTGGCTACAGCCAGTGTATCATTTGAGCTAGGCTTTAGATAAAATCCTAACCCTGGGGAATAGGGAAGTTCAAATTGCAGCTGAACCAGTCACTGGGAAGTTCCATTTTATTGTCCCGAAAGACATATCCTAACATAGAGGAAGCCAATTAGCTTGATACTGTTAATTTTAAACTTCACAATGGAAATGAAAAATGTAGCTTTTTATTCTTAGGGTTTTTTGTTTTTTTGGCTAGTTGATCATTCTATTCATGACTGGTAAATGTCAGCCTAGATTCATGTAAACCATCTCCTTACTGGGCCTTTTATTTGTGTGAATCAGTGGCGGAAAAGAAATCAGGTTCATGGAAAATATAAGAGGTCCTCTTTTTCCCCACCTCCCCCCAGTTAGAAATGTGATTAATCACCTCTAAACAGTGGTTTTGGCTTTAATGGCAAGGGTAAAACACATAGTTACTGGAGTGAGCCAGATGTATTCATGCCTCAGGGCCAGATACTGATAGCCTCACTCACAGTATAGTATTGGTAGTCTCCTTGATGTACCTGGGATTACTCATGGAGTAAAGTACTACCTCACATGACTAAGGGCATTGGAACTTGGCCCTTACTGAGGAACCTTGTGACTTCATTATTATTGGTGTCCTTGTTCTCACTCTTCCTTCCTTTTTGTCAGTTGATGACCCTTCTCTGTTGTTGACTTGAATTTACGTTGCACACTCTATGGGACTAGGGCATATTTCAACTTCATTTTGGTGTGTGGCATGGTTTTAAATGCTCAAAAAAAAATCAAGAGAAACTGGAGGGGAAAGTGGATTTGTAAAGGGAAACGCTTAATAGCCCATTGCATCAAGGTGTCAAGTCTTTCCTAGACTGGTGATGGGTGAACAATTATTCATCAAAGTTTGCCTCTTTATCTATTCATGAATTGTTTGAAAGCAAAGTGTGATTTTTTTTTTCTTGATTGTTTTTCTTTTTTTATATTTATTCTTTGTCAGCAGCTTGTTCAAAAGCAGTTGGTGTGAATATTCAATATGTGAGCTGTTGACTGCACACAGACTTTAGGTTACATGGTATATTTCTGTTCCCTGAATGAATGAGCATTACTCTTAAAATCAGGTTTTCAATGTAAATTCTCACATTTATATATTCAGAATGCTTCCACTAATTGTTTCAATAATTGCTTTAATTGTGCTATTTATGCAAACATTCCAGCTTAAATTGGCTTAAAAATTATATTATTGAAACATATTCAGACTTTTTGATTTGGCAATAGTCAGTTCTAGTAATGACCAAAAATGTTCGTCTCTAATGGTTGCTCCAAGATTTTAGCAACATTGCAACATTTGTCATACTTTCGTCACTATGTGACCTTCACCAGCTATGAAGTCCTGGGAATTCAGTGTTGCTGAAATCAAGGTCCCAAAGCCTGATTGGCTGACCTAAGAGAATGGTTTACTGTGGTAATTCCTGAAATTCAAATATGTGCAATCATTCTTCTACTTAATTTACAATAAATGGTTCAGAAAGAAGTCACTTTATAGGCAGAATAATGATAGCAATCCTATTATTTTTGCATAGGTAGGAAACAAAATTCTCTTGTGTAATGCTTCTCCCTGTGCCCAGAACTGTAAATCACCTTGTTCTTCCCTCCTCTGGCCTCTAGCAAGAGGGAAACTTGCTTATGGGTAACTGGGGTGTCAGTTCCCTGACCCTGCTAGCTGGTTAGCCACACAAACAATCTCCTCTGGGCTCTGCAAGCCTTTACTTTACCTTGCAGATTAACACTAGGTGTATCTCAGCAGCCGAACCCCTTTGAAGTGTTGCCATCAGAATGGCCATACTGGGTCTGATCAATGGTCCATGTAGCCCAGTATCCTGTCTTCCGACAGTGGCCAGGTGCTTCAGAAGGAATGAAAATAACAGGCAATCATTGAGTGATCCACCCCCTGTCATCCACTTCTAGTTTCTGGCAGTCAGAGACTAGGGACATCCAGAGCATGGGGTTGCATTCCTGAACATCTTGGCTAATAGCCTTTGATGGACATATCCTCCATGAATTTACCTAATTATTTTTTGAATCCCTTATAGTTTTGGCCTTCACAACATCCCTTGGCAA